GTTATTTCGGTTATTATTTTTGAACTTCAAGCAATTTTTCTTAGACTAAGAGTTTGAATCTGAATGCAAAAGATCTTGGTTTAATAGATGAGCCAGCAGGAGTCTAAGTTTTATCAAACATGAAAGAACAACGACGAAATCGGGGAATAAGTACCTCGTTACCAACAATAACAAGCCTAACTTAGAATGTTCTTTAGGTTGAAGTGAACACAGCCACCTCAGTTGATTGCTTCCGAGGAGAGATGACAAACAAGTACTTACATACAAACTGTCGTCTCTTTCTATGGTCAGCTGTGTCTGAAGCATATCTCGAAATATCGTTATTATCTTTCCTTCCTCTCCTTTCATTACACATAGTCTTCATTTCCAATTAGTTTACTCATTGACTGTTTACATATTTCTGAAATTTTCTTCTTACTAGCACTAGAGATTCCTGTTTACTTTTCTTCACACTGCAGCCAAATAATCTCCAACCAATTACCGCAATAAGTGCAGATATCCAGAAGCCCCACTAGTCTGAAACAAAGTCACTCGTTCGAATCACGGGACATACGTACTCACAAAAGTCCGCCAACTAACAGTAAATAGTGCAGTCTAACGGCTGGATTACCACTCAATAACACCAACGAACACCTACAATCGTAATGAAAGAAAAAGAATCGGACGGAAAGAAATCAGTTGGTCGATACTTGCTCGTGTTACATATTTTGGATATTGGACATTAGAAAGATATTCGGCTGACATAAATCATAAAAAGATATTGGATTGGAAATCTGAAGTCGGCGTATCAATCCGAATAATAATATTTATGTTTAGTTATTTGTGATGGCGAAACAGTGTCGTTTTATTCATGAAATTTAAATAAGTTCTTGTTTAGTTATATAGTTTCGATATCGTTAGTTGTGTAGCATAAGCGCAACTTTTCGAAACCTCGAAAATACGGAAATATGAAACTAGGTACTATCAGACGTAAATATATCTCATTTTCTATGGCTGTGACTTTTTCCTTTTTTGCCGCTATTTCTAACATTATTGGATTTGTCTCACCTTACTGGATTGTTTCGAAATCAGAGTCGAATCTCGGTTTTCAGAGACTTGGCTTGTGGGAAGTTTGTTTCGACCAGTTCATCTTCCCAGAAGACTATGTATCCAAAGCATATCAAGGATGTTGGTACGTATATTATCCAGAATACAAATACATTAGATTTTGGCTAAATCCACGTGAGTTCTTTACATATATAGTTAGAATGGTATGATGTTTAAAGAATTCTCAGAGTTTTACTTAACTCTTTATAAAAAAGGCAAATGATCTTTAGAGGTGTATTTCTTTGGCATCACGAAAATTTTGCCTGATCACTGTAAAAGTAAGGTTACTAGATATGCTCGTTACTTGGGGGATATTCCATTCTTCAATGAACTTGCTGCTTCTACACATATTTACCCAGAACTCACATTTATTTCTTCCGTAATTGAAGTTCCGGGGATCTAGGTTTTTTGAAAAGGAATTCAGCTGCAACTTTTTAAATATCATTATATGAATGCTGATAAGACCATACGGTGGACAAAATAACATTATTTGAATAATGTAGTCGGGTAAATGTTGTTATGATATTTAAAGTTGCAATTGGGACATATCTGAATTAGTTACGAAAATATTCACATATGCGTTTAGTACTGATCCACATCGACAGGGTTTAAACCGCAATGTTCTGTTTCCGGAAGGCAGCTCCAAATATAATAGTTCTGCGTTTTGCTTAAAAAGTACACATTATATTCAGGTTGAAAAACTAATCTGTAAAAGACAAAATAATCAATGGTCATCGAAATATATTTACACCGTTGCGGAAACATTACAATCCAAACAAATCTTCTTGCAATCAGTAATGAGTGACCTACAAGATTTTAAATAATTGATAGCTTAACAAGATTTACTTTTACATCAAGGTCCACTGGCTGTCTCTACAGCTTAGTGAAAACTCCTGGAATACCATTAATTATATTTTCAAAGTACTACTTACCAAGTTTGCTCTTAATGTAGTGCGACGTACATAGTCTGAGCTGGTATACCGCAAAAATGGCATTGATGAACTCTGTTTTTGGTGACGGCTGGATTTTTTCTTACTGAATTTGAAAAATCTTACCTCTTATTTATTTTTGAACAATATCACTAAAACTAATGTATGTGCTTATTGTCTTAATTCTTTTAATTAATAAATTTGAATGGTACGGTTGTTATGCCAAATAACTAATTAAGGAGGAAATAGAAATCCAAACTAAATTCAATTAGCACTAATTGTTATCCTTAATTCGTATCACTTCAGTTTTGTTGTTTTTATAGTTAAATGACACTCTTGCAATCAAATTACAGTTAGCTGTTGATACACAAGTTTCACATAAATAACTACCATTCTAATATATTATGCTTTTGAGGCTAAAACTTACGTCATGGTGTTGTGAAGTTGAATATCCCGACATTATTCTGTACAAACTGTAACTAGTCTCTTGTAGAAATTAGTTGTAAGCATACATTACATGCTAACCAATGTTAAATTGGATATTATTACTCTGGGATAAAGTCGTAAAGAGATACTCGCTTTTGGTTATTTTCTTTTTATCATAACTGCTTACAAACTGATTCAGATTTAGCTTAAAAAATTAGGCAATACGTTACGTAACTGATTTCCTTCAATCCCTGTATTTTATTTTATTCTAGCCTGGTTTTATCTTGTTCAAATGTTGTCGATCATTAGTCTAATATGCAATTTAGCTGGACTTTTAATGATTATTCTTGTTTTATGTGAGGTTTATGGAACAAAAGAAAGGAAGCCACATTTTGTTATAATGGGATTACAATCTGTTGCACGTAAGTAATTTTATAATTGTCAAAGTTTCACCATGCAGGTATTATATACCAACTGTATTAAAAAAAGATATTTTTTTAAACTACTAATATAAGCAGCTTCGGTTTAACATTTGATTTCGATAATCACGTTTTGAGATGATTTTCTTTGTAAAATGATATCAACGAAGCGACCAGTGAAAACTGAAAGTACTTGGAGAGGTGTTTTGTTCAATCTACGGATAACTGAAGTTAATAAATCAGGGTTCCAAGAAGTAGCCTAGCTAATAATCTTCAGCTTTGATTGCAACCTTATTGTATTCAAAACACCAATTCGAAATCCGCAAGTCTAGATCTTTAACCTCAGCCGAGATGTTTTGTAGAATAGTCCAAACGGTTGTCATCTGTCATTTGCTGTCTCTTTTTTTATTTGACTTGCTCACTCAGAACGAACTTCTGACTCGGATTTTATTGTAAAGACTAGAACTAAACGATGATTGATAATATGTATTTTCCTGTCACTTGTATTTGTCATAATAATTTACATGTTAGCTGGGCTGATAACTTGTTCTAGATTTGAGTTAGATTTATATGTGATATATTAGTTTCTGACTAGGTATCTGGTAGAAGGCATGTCAACTGTATGTTTAAACGTACCATTTTATGATTCATCCTAGAAAGTTGAGCGTCCCATTGCTGTTCATGAGAAAAACATCTCAAAGTTAATCCCTAATAATCCAGTGATTATTAATTACTTAGATGGAAGAACATTAATATAGGTCTTATTAAAGAATCTGAAACTAAAACCTATCAAGATCGAGGTCAACAAGACAAGCTGCGAGTCATACTTGGAGCAATTCAAACACTTCACTTCTTCTACTTGCGGTTTGTGCTGATGATGTTGTTCACAGGAACAATGAAAGTTCCACAGCCAAAGCATCCAACTCAGAGAGCGAAACTCTATCACATTATTCAACTGGTATAGATATCAACAGGCAGAGAAGTCCATGTTTAGATACGCGTGAAGACGGTAACCTAAGTTTGAACCAGATCGTGATCTATCTATTTGATTCTAAATCTTAAAATTTTTGGCTGTGTTTGATATTGCCCTCATTTTCCTGTGCTTCTTATCTTTTTAAAATCTTTTTTGTTTTCCTGCGGTAATGTAAATCTTAGCAGTTGAAAACGAAATAAACTTGTCTCAAGTTTTATTTCCCGATTGTAGCTGCAAACTTGACATGATGGTTGAGCTTGTCTATCGTGATGACCCAACTGAGCTATATCGTCTGGAATACACATGTTTTTAGATCCCACTATGTCATGCTAGTCGATTGGTGAAGGGAAAGGCTAAAAGCGGCAACACAAGACATGAGGGCGAAGTCGTACTGCTGACTGTAGAAGGATTTGACAGAAATGAGATGTTTCTCTCGAACAACCAGCATATGATGTGATGCTGCCTTCTAACAACGGAGGTAAGGGACTAGAAAAGATTGACCCTGAGAATGTCATACCTCACCTTACCCCACGGATTTCCGTCCACGGTGGTAAGGCCTTCTGAAGAGTGGAGCTAAAAACCTCCCGGCCTCAAGTAGTTGTGTCTAAGACCAACACTAATGGGATTTCTTTTTCAGCTTCCAAAAGTAACACCCTGCCACGGTGTGGGCAGCCAAGACTTGATTCTGCCCTCATACCCACAACAGAACACGTGATTAACTCGATCACAATCGAATCATTCCTACAACTCTTAATAACTCTCTGACTTTCACGACTAGACCTCCTCGTATCTCTTTATCAGCTGACGCCGCTATTACTGACGATTTAAACACATCAAACACTATTCCTGATCTCTTAAAACCATGCTCTAAACCTATCTCAAGTTTGATTTTATTCACAATTATCTAAATAACTGATAAATACTCTCGATTCTATTAAAATAGTTTTGTAACATACGGAAAACAGTTTCACTTAACTCCTTATATACATATATATATATTTATAAAAAATGTTAATTAATTTATCGTCAAAATCTTTTTTCATTTTTCTTTCACACCCTTTTTTTTTGTAACCCAGTAGCTTGTTTCATAGTAGTCACAATATTTATGGGAGTTATGAGTAAAGATCGTGAATGGTTACCAAGACCTGACTTGAATATGTTATCATGGAGTTTTGCATTTGCTGTACTAGCTGGATTTTTCACCATATTTTGTCTTTTTGGATTAATAACACATTATCTCTCAGTGGAAAGTAAACGTTTCATGCAAGATCCTGCATTGAGACAAAAATTCCTAGCAAAGAATCCATACTATGCTGCGCCACAAAAGACTATTTCATATTATGATGGAAAGACAACGGCTACTGAATCGAAACTTGGCGGTGGTGCTGGAACAGTCCCGTCATTGTTTACAACAGTACCTTCAACTTTCGTGAGCTATCATCATCATCAGCCTGGATCACAAATTGCTGGTCCGAGTAGCGCATTAATGGCACCTGGTAAATCAAGTATTCTAAGTCGTGGTACCATTGCTCCAGGTGCTGTCGGTGGTACTGTAGCTGGTACGTCGGCAGCTACTGTATCGGCGAAACTAAGAGAAACATTAGAAGCTCAACGTTTAGCTGTTTTAGAAGCAAATCTACGTGCTGCAGAAAAAAATGAATCATCATTTCAAACTGTTGACAATGTTTATAGTCCTATTTCAATGCAATCATTACATGATGCAAATTTAAGAACAGAATCAAGATATGATATGACACTGACAAGACAACCGGTAGAACGTTTAGACTCCACTACTACGCATTTACAATCTAATGTTGCTATGGATTCAGCTGTATAAAATTCAATTCAATGATCAATTTTTTCAATAATCATTTTAGATGCATTTTTTTTCTCTCACTATATTTGCACTTGTTTGTAGTATTAAAAAAAAAGTAAATTTATTTAATCATGAGACAGATTTTGATTTTTTTAGGGTATTTTTAGCTGTTTTATTATAAAACAATTGGTCCATTTTATAAATTTCGATAGAACAGTAATGAGAAGAGGACGGCATAACTGATCTATAAAATGTTGTATATTGGATTCCCGCTATATATTTTTAAACAAACCGGTTACATATGCACACTTTTCAACGTATAAATAAAAGTTCAAATAGACATAAGGTGATAATTCTAAATGAAAGAGAGAAAATTAAGGTGATATCGAACGAACAAGAAAGGGTAGGAAATCGTCACAGTACCTTAGGTTATAAAATGACTTGAAGATTACTTACTTTCTTACTACTTACGCCTGTAACCCCCAGATGAAGCATCAGTCACTGGCCAGTATTCTCCAACCTACTCTGTCATGAGCTCCCCTTTCCAGTTCTGTTCAACTTTTGTTCATTCTTCGTATGTCTGTCTCCATTTCTCGGAGTAATGTGCTCCTTGGCTTCCTTCTTTTCTTTTGACCTTGAGGGTTCCAAGTTAGGGTTTATCATGTGACGCAGTTGGGTGCTTTCCTCAATGTGTATCCGATCTCCCTCCAGCACTTCTTCCAGATTTATTCCCAAAATAGGTTGTTGCTTATAGTGTCTTACCAGTGGATCCGAAGTATTTTTCGTAGACAACTGTCATTAAACACTTGTATCTTCTGGATGATGGCTTTAGTAGTTCTCCAAGTTCCCAACCCATGGAATATCACTTTCTTGACATTTGTATTGAAAATCGTGACTTTGTTGTTGTTTGATAGTTGTTTTAACATCCAGATGTCATTTAGTTGTAGAAATGCAGCCCTCGCTTTGCCGATTCACTCCTTCACATCTGCATCATATTCACCTTGTTCGTCAATGATGCTGCCCAAGCTTAAAGGTTACCAGGATAAATTCAAGGTTGGATGTTGTATTGGGTGCTTTAGACTCGACGTTGGGCTCACTACTTTGGTTACCCACGACTCAATATTGATGAACAATTAAATATGCTATTGAATAAATCTCCCCATCAGTTTCCGTATATTATACTTAGGCGAACCCCATTTATGTGACGGCCGGAATAATAAGCCAAATAAGGATTCGGTTGGATGAGTTCATTTCAGGCAAATGTTCATGCAGGCATGATAAGGAAAAGCATACAAGCAAACTGGGGACAAGCAAACTGCTGGTTAGGGACATGTCTTTATTGGCATACATAAATTAAAGTTAGCAGTTAGTTTTATAATTCAAAAAATGTTTGAGTATTCATACCTTCGATATTTTACTCAGGAAAACATCTGTTGAGTTATGAAGGCATCTTTAGCCGAGAATATTTTTTGTCGTTTCTCGTCCCATTCTCTTTTTCAGCACCTCATCCAATACTGTACATAAATAGACTTGATATTCCTGGAGACTAACAGTTGCTTCACCAAGAGGGAGAGTCCTGACTGAAACACTTAAATTATGTTGGAAATGACGCACTGATTCATTTATAACGCTGGGTTTTCATTGTACTACATAATGAATCAGTAAAAGAGACTTGTGGGGATTGTATTATTTTCATAGTTGTAAGGATAAACTGACCTTGGCTAGACCAGCATTGGAAAAACACAAGCACTGGATGATCGTTACATCTTAGTGTGGGACTTCTCAAATTTGGTTATCCATGACCCCGTTAACGGGGATGGATGAAGCTTGTCAAAGATCATGCATGGGTTGATTGAAGTTTGACATTTGCACTACCAGATGCTGACCCATTAGTCCAGGGGTTAAGCGTTCAAACGCAGTACTTAAGGTCCCAGGTTCAATTCTACCTGCTGCGATCGTGAGTACCCACTGTTAAGAAGTCTCACAGCGAAACGAAATGACCTTCTAGCGCTTAAAAGTTTCGACTGATGGTCCGTCTAAGATCAGTTGGTGATTCTGGCTATAAAAACACATAATGAATTGAAAGAGGTTAGTTTGAATGTAACAAACTCATAATAAATTATAAAGGTCCACGTTTTGACTGCATTTATAGTCTTAAGTGGCCACGACTGAAGAAACCTAAAATAGGACAGAACTCATATTCTGCTTCTTTCAATTGTAAACAATTGAGCAACGTTTACAACAGAAACAATGCTGAACAAAGTAATCTAGTGAATTCTATTGGAATTTAATAAAAAACTATGCATAGAATTCATTCAAGACATCATTATATAAAACGAGGAATTAGAATAATTGACGTGATCACGAAATTCGACGTCAGTTGATTCGTAAGTTAGCTTTAACTTCGCAATAGATTGGAAGATGAATGACGGTCTAGCATCGATCGGTTCATGAAGTAAAAATTCTCCTCTTAGCCACTATTCAACTTGCCTACAGTCAGTAACCTTAGTCTGATATTCTTACTCTTTCTTTCTATTATAAATAAGAAACAGCACATTGGTTTGTTGAAATAATTCTTTATACTACTGAATAGCTGGTTTCAGTAGTGACTGAAAGGAATAGTGGATTTTCAACTTCTCGTTTTGATATTGATTGCTATAATAATTTCATCAATTTTTATTAGACTATCAAATAAAAATATGCAAAGACAAAAAATTCATTTAAATTGTAAACCAGTCAGTGTTAGACCATCATTGCAGACATGGAAGCATTGGACGGCCGTTCTGTCCTAGTCTGCGACTAATCAGTGGCAGTGAGCATCCCTGACCACCGCTCGCGGGAATCAAATCCCAAGACCTTCAGTCTCGTGTGCCAACTCCTGAGTTGATGGCATCCAACCGTGTCAACGTATTACTGTTAGGATATTCACCCAATATCCTAAGAGAATTATTGGTCTATTCCTATTGGTTAATTCCTACTGGTCAATTTTATGGTCGTCCTAGATACCAATGTCACGTGCTCCAATGGTGGTTCTTATTGGTTGTCCTGACTATCAATGTCACTTCGAATGTTACTTCCTATTCGTCGTCTTAACTGTCAATGTCACAGACTTCGATGCTGTTTCTCATATGACCAAAATGTATAAATAGGCATTATCTGCAAGGTTCTGTGACCCGGACCAGGACCTGGTCCCGGATCCCTAGTCCGGGATCCTGGTTCTCTTATGGACTCGGACCATATACTTTCTGGATGCTTGTAGAATACAGGTTCTACTTCATATCAAGTCTTCTCTTCGTTTACTCAATATGGGGGTTGGGATAATCGGATTTGAGTAGCATGTCATGTCACCGGATCCTCGATTTTCGCTCTCGTTTTCCGTCTAGGTAAACTCGTAATAGTTCAAGTATATCAAGCTGACGTGTTTACGTGCAGGCCTAACACTTAGTTCAATCATTTCAGATCTCGAATGATGATCTAACAATAAATGATTCATAATTTCATCAGAACTCAATAATCACCATAACCCCCTTATTTAAAACATGAATTGACTAGAATTTTTTTCACAGGCAATTAGTGTAGACTTAGCATTTCAAAATACAATAATTATGCGTTTGTTTGTTTATTTGTTTGTTGCATTTTTCGCGCAAATTTAAAATTCCAACTGTTTAAAAAAAACAATCATGAAGAGAAACTAAATTAGAAAAAAAAACATAGGCATTTCATTTTAAATGGTAATTAGGTTTATGCAATAAAATAATTACACACAACTATATTTATGTGTATATATAAATACGTTCATTAATTAACATTATGATACTAAACATCAATGAAAGATTATTGTACAGCAGTATTATCGGAAGTTCATTGAAATGCAAATTTGTATTATGCTTCTAAATCGGAAATTTCAACAACAAAGGATTAAAGACAATTTTATTTTGTTTTTATTTAATGAAATAACATTAAAAACAAGTAAAAAAAAAATTAAAAATGAGTTAAAAAGACTATTCGGTAAATATTTTGAGTTACTGTTATGGATGACACTTTGTTGTGGACGTTAGATCCCCAAATGTAGTGAAGTAGAGAACACAGGTAGGGCAGCCGAATTGTATCTAACGAACATTACAGAGTTACTCAGTAAAATTGGAAAACCATATCGTAAATCATTTATTTGCAAAATATCAGTTCATCATATCGAACTGGACTGTTCCTGTTGCAAAACATCAATCCATTGTCACTATTCATGCGTTTCATACAAATTCCATTGTGTTCCCACTCTTCCTTTCTTGATCTTCGCCCATCTTCTGCTGCCAGACATTACGTTGACACTCACGTCATATACTACTTATAAGTATTTATGGCATTTTGTTGGAGATGTTAGATCCCCTAAAACTCGCTTGATAAATGCCTGAATTTTGGATTTCACGTTTGCCAGCATGGGCTGATCAGTTGACCTTGAGATTTCATTTCCCACCAGGAAAATCCATGGCTGTGATTGGCTGCTGTTTATTTTAGTGTGCTATTTTTATGACTGTCCGAAGGACGTTTCTATGATGTAGAAAATAAACGAGAGTTTTGTGTGTTTGATTGTATTGTGATTATTGGGTGTTTGTAGAATATACTTTATACGCTTATTAAGACTTCTATTTTGCAGTTTGGGATTCAAGGTAGTCTACTTGGACGCTGGTAATTGTCTCGTTCACGTTTATCGACTAAGGTGAACTCGTAATACAGCTTCAAGCGTACCTAGTGACGAACATAACATATTTAGGACATACTATTTAAGAGAGACAGTGTATGAGGTTGTACGAGACCGTGAATCGATCGTTAGATACTGGCTCAGTGGTCCAGAGGTTAGACATTTGGGTGCAAGACGGGGGGTGCTGAGTTTGGACCCCGTGAGATGCAGAAGTCGTGGATGCTCACTGCTAATGAGTAGTTCCATTTTCAGATGGTGAAGAAAATATGTAGCTCAGATGGATGATTGTGGTGATGACCCAATTTATCAACCAATCAGAAAATGCATAGGTGACATAAGATCAAGAAACTGATCAAAAGGGTGATACAATCAAAACAAAGCTGCAAACAACGACAGGTTTAAGGTCAACAGCAACCAATCTAGACCGAGGTTTGCAGAAC